AGGTTGGCCCTGACAACGGTGTTGGAGGGGTGGCCCTGGACAAGTTATGGTGTGGTGAGGAGGGTGGCCCTGGACAGGCGGTGTGGGAGGGGTGGCCTGGACAGACGGGGGTGTGGGAGGGGGTGGCCCTGGACAGGGATGGGGGTGTGGGAGGGGGTGGCCCTGGACAGGGACGGGGGTGTGGAAGGGGGTGGCCCTGGACAGGGACCGGGTGTGGGAGGGGGTGGCCCTGGACAGGGACGGGTGTGTGTGAGGGGGTGGCCCTGGAAAGGGACCGGGTGTGGGAGGGGGTGGCCCTGGACAGGGACCCCAGGGTGTGAGGGGGTGGCTCAAAGCCAAGGGTGGCAGGGACCAAGGGGCCACGAGCCCCCCAGTCCTGGCCCAGGCGGGGCTCTAAGAACAGGCATTTGGGGCCAGCCAGACCCCACCCCAACCCACGGGGGGCTTGCGAGGGCCAGGGCAGGGGCCCCCAGGCTCCACCCTGCTCCCCGCTGTGCGAGCTGGTGGCCCCGTTACCGGGCAGGTCTGGGAAGGCAATGTTGGTCTCCGACAGGCCCTGGGTCCGGCCCAGGCACATGAACTTGTCCATCGTCCCGGAGGGCAGCATCCAGCTCCTGCCTGCGGCCGGCGAGCACAGCGAGGCTCTCAGCGCTTGGCGCGGGGAGTGGGCGCAGCCTGCCCTGGTGAGCGGGGCGGGGGCGGGGGCGGGGTCCGGCCCCACGTGCGGGAGCACCGGGCTCCCCGGGCCGGCGAGGGGCTCACCCAGCAGGCTGACTCTGATGACGGTCAGGTGGCTGGTGAGCCTGTGGGAGAGCACCAGGGCGAAGCCGGTGTAGTCGCTGTCCACCACCCGTATCTCCTCTCTGTCGGCCCCTGGTCCTGGAGGGGACACGGAGGTCAGGCCCCTCCTGCCGGGCCCCCTGCCCCTCCCTCCCGCCGGTGGCTGTCTCAGCCCTACCGTGGTCCACGGTGAACTGCCCCGCCTGGGACCCCGGGATCATCACGTAAAACCAGCTTTTGCAGTGCCGGCCCCTGGGGGAGGGCAGAAGCAGAAGGCTCTGGAAGCCGACCAGGCCCACCCAGAGGTGCCACCCGAGGAGCATTTAGCTGTTCGTCCGGAGGGGACAGCGGCAGGAGCCGGGAGTAGCCCTGCCCCTCCCAGCGGACACAGCAGACTGAGCCCATCTCTCCTCCCCAGCATGGGGGGCTTGTCCCCGGGGCCCTTCAAGCCGCCCTGTGACCCTCCTGGAGGGGCAGGTGTGACATCCCCCTCCCAGGAGCACAGCGGACCTCCGAGCCACCTCTGACCACCATCCCGCTGGGGGCTCCTCTTTAGTTGGAAACAGATCCCAAGTCCCATGGATTTGCAATGAGGAAGAAAAGACCCCGCTGGGAGGGTGGTGTGTCCAGCGGGCGGCACGCCGGTGCTCCAGCTGTGAGCCCTGGGCGTGCTGGGTGAGAAGTGAGCACACTGGCGCAGGGTGGAGGGGGCCGTCTGGGGCCACGGGCGGGCGTCACTCAGCCCTGCGGCTCCCTCAGTCCTTGGCAAAAACCTCCAGCATCAGCCGGGCACGGTGGCTCACGCCTGTCATCCTAGCCCTCTGGGAGGCCGAGGCGGGAGGATCACTCAAGGTCAGGAGTTCGAAACCAGCCTGAGCAAGAGCGAGACCCCGTCTCTACTATAAATAGAAAGAAATTAATTGGCCAACTAAAAATATATAGAAAAAAATTAGCCGGGCATGGTGGTGCATGCCTGTAGTCCCAGCTACTCAGTAGGCTGAGGCAGGAGGATTGCTTTAAGCCTAGGAGTTTGAGGTTGCTGCGAGCTAGGCTGACGCCACTGCACTCTCGCCTGGGCAACAGAGTGAGACTCTGTCTCAAAAAAACAAAAAACAAAACAAAACCCTCCAGAATCTCAAGGCCCTCGAGGTGCACGAGGTTTTCTAAGAAGTGACAAAGTGCAGTCGGCCTGCAGTGGGGGGCAGGGGGGCGCGCTGCCCAGGTGGTGTTATGGTGGAGGTGAATTTGCACTGGGTTCCTGACCTCCCCCCCGACCCCCCCCAGTTAATGAGGCACAGGCCCCAAGCCGGGCAAGAGAGATTCCCCAGGAACTTGAGACTCCTTGGCAAGGGGGTCTGTACAGGTGTGTGTAGCTCCCAGTCCCCTTGAGCCCGGACGTCCCCTGCCCTTGGCTTCTAGGTGCTACCCCGGTCTGCAGGACAAGGCTCCTTGCCTAAGAGTGTCACAGACACTTTCTGTTACATGAAACCAAAATCTCCAAAGAAACAGGCCACCCGGCCCCTCCCTCCCCTGCGGGCTGGGCAGGCCACAGAGCAAGGTTGCTGGGGCTGTGGGAGAGCGGCAAGGGTGACGACGCCAGCAGCAGTGCCCATGTCCCCCAAGGTGGCTGTGCCGCCCTCCCTGAGATTCCCGTAGGCTGCCCACGGAGGACAGACTCCTCCCCTGCCAGGGTGGGTGTGCTTCATCCAAGCAGGCCAATCAGAGCACCTGCTGCATCCAGGCAGGCCAATCAGAGCACCTGCCACCCTGGGTGCAGTGATTGGCTCAGAAAGAGCACATGACTCAAGAAGAGCCAATCAGAGGCTGTTCCCAGGCTGGCCTGGATGCTCCCTGCTTTGTTGGGATGGGAGCCCTGAGATGCTGTTGGCTCGGGCTGCTGCCACTGTGCACAGAGTTCAGGCTGGGACAGGCAGAGCTGAGAGGGAGGAGGTGGGGCCTGAGCACAGTGTTTGAGCTCCTGGATCCAGCTGTACCTGAAATCCCTCCCCTTGCAACATCCAGATCAGTGATCCAGGAAATGCTTTCCTTCTTTGCACACACCATCCGAGCTGGGTCTGGCCATTGGCAGCCAGGCCTAAAGCCGCCAGTGCTGGACTTAGCATTAGAAGGGGACTCAGGACATGCCCCCACAGCCCAGGGGGGCATCTGAGCTATGGAGCCGTTGGCTCCTGGGGCACAGGCCTGGAGACCTCACCTACTGGCCACTCACCGGGTCATGGCGTTCGACACCGTAAAGCCGCCGGTGTCCCTCGGCTCGTAAGTCGTGGTGAAGGGGCCCAGTAGTGCCTTGTGCTCCTTCCTGAAGGTGTTGCTCGCCAGCCCCAGGACGAACCACTCCCCCTGGAACTGCATGGGCTGGCGGTGGCGGGGCCAGGAGTCCCTCCCACCCGGCCTGGACAGCCCGGAGCCAGGACCCCTCTGGAGGCCCTGGGGCTGGGCCCGTGCGGGGACACTGGTCTGGCTGCCTCCCTGAGCCTCAGCTCCCCATGTGTGCAGGGGTTGCAGGAGGGAAAGGGAGACCCAGGAAGGCACGTCCAGGGTCCTTTTCTGTCGGGGCTTGGGGGTTCGACCTGGGGTCCCGAGAGCAGGGCCTGGGCCCCGGGCGGTGTGAGCTGACCCGCTGCACTCCCTGGGCAGCGACCCCGGCTGGCACGGCCTCCTCTCCCCCAACGCTCGGGCCCCGGCTAGCTGCTGCCTCCCTCCCTGGAAGGCCGCGTACCTGGTCTCCTTGGAAGCTCTGCATCGCAGGCTGCATTGACGGGGGGCTCAGGGTCTGGCCCCACAGGACGTCCGGCAGAGTGAGCAGCAGCCACAGTGCGCGCCGAGGCCCCATCCTGGCCACCGCCTGGCCTGAGCAACGGGGGAGGAAGTGGCCTTTGGCAGGCAGCTCAGGACTCACCTCCTAGGGCCTCACCTGGCAGGGGCCCCTCCCAGTACTGGCAGGAGGAGGGGCAGGTGCAGAGGGGGCTGGGCAGGGCAGGGCCTCCCTGAATCTGCCCATCCCCCCCAGGGTCTCCCTGGTCCCTACCAGGAGGGGCAAGGCCCACTGTGGGTCCCTAGGCCTCACCTGTGGGCCCCCAGGCCTCACCTGTGGACCCCGAGCACCCAGCTCTGCACCCCCTTGGCTCCCTGCCCCCAGCCGCCCCCGCCAGAGAACGTCTCCTCCCAGGCAGAGAGCGTGCCGTGGAGCCCTGGCGCAGTGTGGGCTGGCTGTGCAGGGAACAAGGACAAGGTGGGCTGCAGCCGTGCGCCCAGGGGTGAAGGCCGGTCAGACTGGCACGAGGACAGGCGGTGCCCTGAGGAAGACGCAGGCGCCCCAGGAGGATGACTGAGGGTGTTTCCAAGGACCCTCTGCACAGAGGGGAGAGCAGGGGCTGCTGGGGCTCCCGTCACCCTGAGCCCCACAGACGACAGGCTGGGGAGGAACAGCCACTCGCGGACCCTCCTCTCCTGGCTGCCGGCCGGGCCTGGGGGCGGCTCCATGTCGTGGGGTCACTAGGGTTGTGCCAGACGCCAGGGCTGCTCATGGTGCGCCCAAGAGCTGCTGGCGTGGGCCTGCCCTGGGCAATGTCCTCCCTCACCCAGCCCTGCTCACAGGAGACTAGAGCAGGGGCAGGTGGCCGAGCCCCCCTGGCCAGCGCACTCTGCTATTCCAGGGACAGGCCCAGGAATAGGAAAGGCGCAGACGGTCACCTGAGCTTCTCCTGAGCCTTCACCCTCCTCCAGCCCCTCCCCGGGCGCCAGGACAGCAGCCTCAGCCCTGCACCCAGCCCGGGCAGGTGCCCCGCTTCCCGCACCTGTCCTATCTGCATGGCGCTCTGGGGAGATCTGGGATCGCGGTTGATAGCATGTCCCAAGTAGGAGACAGCCCCTCACAGAACCCCCACCCATGCAGAGCCCTGCGGGGGACCCGGCCTTCCCCGGCCGGCTCAGCTGGAGCCACAGCCTGTCCCGAGCAGCAGAGGCTGCTGGGTCGTGGTCCTGGGCCCTGCGCAGGGCTAGGCCGCAGCCCCCACCTGCACCCTTGCCTCCCGCCCCAGGGTCTGAGCGAGCCTCTGCACAGCCGCTGGGGGCTGCTGTTAACTGTTGTGCACCTGCTTTCCCTTCCAGAGCCTCCTGGGCTGGAAAGTGGGTTGGGGTGCCTCCCCCACCGCTGGCAGCTGCGGGTGTTGCTCCTCCTGTTTGATGAGACGGTGGGGGTGGGCATGTGAGTCCTGCCGCCCCCCTGCAGGCACTTTCCGCACAGCAGCACCCTGCCTTCCCCACGAGGCAGGCGGGACCCCCAGGCTCATGAGACCCTGAGACCCCCCCAGGTCCCCTGATGCCTGTGGGTCTCAGGCAAGATTGCTAACAATTAAATGCTAGTTTTTTTCTTTTCTTTTCTTTTTTTTTTTTTTGAGACAGAGTCTGATTCTGTCACCCAGGCTAGAGTGCCATGGTGTCAGCCCAGCTCACAGCAACCTCAGACTCCTGGGCTCAAGCCATTCTCCTGCCTCAGCCTCCCGAGTAGCTGAGACTATAGGCATGTACCACCACGCTCGGCTAATTTTTCTATATATATTTTTAGCTGTCCCAGTAATTTTCTTTCTATTTTTTAGTAGAGATGGGGTCTTGCTCTTGCTCAGGCTGGTTTTGAACTCCTGACCCTGAGCGATCTGCCAGCCTCGGCCTCCCAGAGTGCTGGGATTACAGGTGTGAACCAGTTTCCATATATTTTTAAAGCTATTTTTCTTCTAAGGTGCTGAAAATCACCTGTCAGAATTAAAGGGCAAAATGCAAATTATAAGAAATGCTTTTTTTTTTTATTTTTAATTTTTATTTATTTATTTATTTATTCTGAGGCAGAGTCTCGCTCTGTCTCCCGGGCGGAGAGTGCGGTGGCGTCATCGCAGCTCCCTGCAGCCTCGACTCCTGGGCACAGGGGGTTCCTCCCGCCTCGGAGTCCCCAAAGTGCCAGGATTACAAGCGCGAGCCACCGTGTCTGCCCGAGAAATACTTTTCAATAAAAATGATTCACATAGAGCTGTCATAATTTTTTCTAATTTTAGAAAACTTTACTGGAGCTTATTAAGTGACTGTGTGAAAACAGAATGCGCTGCGGTTTCAGCTCTCGCGGGTGCGAAGAGCCAGGAGGCTGCAGGGTTCCCAGGGCGGCTGGAGGGTTAGGCCTGGGCCAGGGGCCGCCACCCATCGAGGCACCGCGGTTGTTTGGGAGGGTCTCTGGCGCCACCCCGTGGACACTCGGCTCATTCCTTCCCTGAGAAGACCCAGACCTCGCCAGCTGCCCCAGGGCAAGACCCTCACTCCCTGGAGGGCGTGGGGCTCTCCCAGGGCTCCGGCCACCTGGCGGAGGAACTTTACGAGTTGCCAGCTCTGAGTCTGGAAGCCCATGTGACGCGGGGGGCCCTGTCGTCTGTTTTGTGGTCTCTGGGACCCGGAACCCCAGGAAGGCACGGCCTCCTGGGCCTTCTCCCTCCCAGGTGCTGGCAGACGGCCTGCCCCTCCCCCAGTCCTGTCTGCCTGCCCTCCTGGGACCCGAGCTGCGGAGCGACACTGGGTGGGCACAGCAGGGCAAGCACCCCCACAGGGCACGGTGCACCCCCACAGGGCACGGTGCCCCCCCCAGGCAGCTGCTGGCTCCTCCTAGCAACCACCCACACAAGCCGCATGCCCTCTGTCCTTGTCTGGACTGGGCCAGTGGCAAGGTGGGCAGGGCTGGGCCAGGACCTCCAGGGACAGGGGACAGTGATCCTTCCTGCAGCCTGGCTGTCCTGGGTCCTCCCTCGGCCTGAGCTGCCTCCACCCCACCTGGTCCATTGGTGGCTGCACGCTGGACTTTCAGCTCCAGGGTAGGCACCTGCCCTCCCTGTGGCCCCAGGACCTGCTACACCGTGGGAACTTCAGAAATGCTTATGGGATGGATACCGGGGGCCAGGCCAGGCCTGAGACGGGAGCGACCCTGAGGCCAGGGGGGAGGGGGGAGGAGGGGCTAAGCTGACTCCCAGCTCCCTGGAGGCCCCACCCCACAGCCCAGGGCTGCAGTTTGCCCCCAGCACAGAGCAGACCCTCCCCCAATCTCTCCTGAAAGCTTCCAGTGGGGACAGTGAAGGTGGGCGGGACTTGAAGGTAATGCCTGCAGGGCCTGGACTGGCAGCGCCAACCCCTGACCTGGTGGACCCGCTGGCTGGTGACAGTGTAGCTGGGAAGACGCTGATAGGGACAGCCGGTGGGGTGGAGCCCGCCCCTCTGGGAGGCAGCCTGGGGTTTGCAGGACAGCGGCCGGCCGGGGAGGGACAGCCTTGGAGACAGGCTGGACGCCGGGACCCCATCGGGGCTTGGGGTGGGCATGTGCCGGGAGCAGCACCCCTCCCAGGCTACCAGAGCGGCTGGCGTGGTGACCCCCAGCAAGCAGAGCCCTGGGGCGGGTGGCGCAGGGGGCATTTGGAGAAAGCTTTCGGCGCCGGGGCAGGTCCAGGGTGGACAGAAGGAGTCCAGGGCCCGGTCTGAGATGTTTAATGAGGATGCGTGCCCCCCACATCACTGAGATCCGGGTGCAGGGACAGCCACCCAGGACAGATGACAGGAGACCCCGCGGTAGGGCAGGCCCTGACCTGTGGCCGCCACCGCTTGGTGGTTCCCTGGGGCTCAGTGAGGAGGGGCTGCAGGTGCTCCGCCGGCGGGGTCCCCTCCAGCAGGGTCTTCTCTGGGGCACCGGCCTCACCGCCTCACCTCTGCGGCAGAGAGGGGCTCAGCACGCTGCACGCGGCCCTCGCACGGCGCCCGGCCCGGCCCTGCTGCCCACTCACCGTCCAGGACGTGGAACTGGTCCGCAGCCTCGCAGAAGCCTGGGGGCCCAGACAGGGTCAGGGGCCTCGGCCCGGAGGGGGAGGGGAGGCCGAGCATGCGCCGGAACCCCGAGACACTCACCGTACTTGGGGAAGAACAGGACCTGGTCCTCCGTCAGGTGGGCCTCCTGGACCCGCTGCTCAAACCTACTCAGGACTGAGTCGCTCACAGGGAGGGAGCGGGCTGTGGGGAGGACAGGGCTCCTGGGGGCCCGGCTCCGGCAGGGGACAAGGTCTGTGCGTGTCTGGGACTCAGCTGTCCCCTGGGCCCTGTTCTTGTCTGGACTGCGCCGGCTGCCAGGTGGGCAAGGCTGGGCCAGGCCAGGGGGCCTCCCAGCAAGAGGGGCGGGATGGGGCGAGGGGGTCTGTGTGTCCATCTGGGCCCGCCCAGCCGCCCCCGCCGCAGGGCTGCGGGCGCCACGCACCATACAGCTTCACTGACAGCCGGCCGGAACGCTCCAGGTACAGGATGGCGAAGCCCTGGTAGTCTGTCTCAGCGACCACCACGTGCACGGGCCCTCGGGCGCCTCTGGCTGGGGCAGAGCCACGGTGGCCGCGTCAGCCCCCGCCCCAGCCTCAGCCCAGTACCCGCACACCCGGCCATCCCCGCCTCACCTTGGAGCAGGAAGCGGCCAGGGACCCCAGTGTCTCCGTAGAGCTGGCGCACCTGCCAGCAGATCCCATCCCTGGAGGGCGGGGATGGGAGGAGGCATGGCGGGAGCAGGGCCCCCACCCGGGACATGGGGGCCCCACCCGGGACATGGGGGCCCCACCCGGGGCATGGGGGGCCCACCCGGGACATGGGGGACCCACCCGGGACATGGGGGACCACCCGGGACATGGGGGACCCACCCGGGACATGGGGGCCCACCCGGGACATGAGGGCCCACCCGGGACATGGGGGACCCACCCGGGGCATGGGGGGCCCACCCGGGACATGGGGGACCCACCAGGGGCATGAGGAGGCCCACCCGGGACATGGGGGACCACCCCCGGGACATGGGGTCCCCACCCGGGACATGGGAGACCACCCGGGACATGGGGGGCCCACCCGGGACATGGGGAGGCCCACCCGGGACATGGGAGACCACCCCCGGGACATGGGGTCCCCACCCAGGACATGGGTCCGGGTCACAGCGGGGTGGGGCTGGGGGCCAGGCTGAGAGTGGGGGCTGGGTTGGGGATGTCCGGGGACTCACAGCTTTCGGAAGGTGCTCACGGCCATGGCTGTGCCCTGGGGAGCCACGTGCAGCGCGGTGGCCTCGGCCCGGTGGCCCTGCTCTTGCAGGGCGCGGCAGGCGGAGCCCGCGGCCACGAGGAGCCAGGTCCCTGCGAACTGCGACGCCCACCCCACGGTGGGCTCACGGGCGCCGGGAACCGCAGCCGCGCCCGCCCCGCCCCCACCCGCCCGCCTCTACCTTCTGCGCTTCGAACCCCGCCGCGGGCTGGACGGCGCTGACGAGGGGCGGCGGCCGCGGGGGCCGCCCAGCACCGCGGCCCAGGGAGCAGAGCACCCCGGCCAGGAGCAGAGCCGCGAGCAGCGCCGTCCCCGAGGGCCGCATGGCGGCGGCGGCAGGACTGGGGGAGGGGTCCTGGGTCGGAGTCCACCGTCCAGAGCCGCCAGGCGCCCAGCCCAGGACGAACGCGTCCCTCCCCGCGTCGCCTGCGCCCGCCCTGCCGGAGCCCAGCCTGCCCTGCTCTCCCCGGCAGGTCCCTGGCCCCGTGTCCCTCGGACAAAGTCCGAGTTGACCTCCAGCTGTTGGCCCATGTCCCCTGGCACCCCTTTGTACGTCTGTCTCCCTTAAACCACCGCCAGCTGGTCTTATCCTCATGGTTAACATCACTGGGTTCATGAAACGTCTTCCTCAGGGTCCGACCTCGTCGAGCGCCGGACGCGGGTCTCGAACCCGCGGCTTCGATCTCCTCCGCACACCGCCCGCGGCCCAGTACGCGGCCGCCGTTCCTCCTGGCCGCCAGGGGCGCTGCACGCAGGGAGTCCGCGCAGGCGCACAAAAAAGGACCCGTCAGCCTTCAGGGCCCGAGGCGCAGGCGCACGAGAGGCCGGCGCGGAGGGCCCGGGCGCTCGGCCTTCCGCGGCCATCGATGCTCCGGGGATCGTGGCGTCGGGCCTGGCGGGCTCCGCCGTAGAGACGCGGACGCGGCGGCCGGAGCGGAGGGCCGCGCAGCGGGCGGGGGTGGCCGCGGTGAGTGACCCCGGGCTCTCCTGCGCCTCGCCGGCCCTGTCCGGCCTTGTCCTGCCGTCCCCGGCCCGGTCCGGTCCCGTCCGGCCATCACCTGGGCTCGTGCGGCCCCGTCCGGCCTTGTCTGTCCGTCCCTGGCCCGGTCCGGCCCCGTCTGGCCTTGTCCGGCCGTCACCCTGGGCGAATGGGCGCGCCCCAGCCCTCCGGGCAGTGGCCACACTCGCTGTCCGTCCCTCTGGACTTCCCTAGGGCCACAGGGCAGAGACCCAGGGGCAGCCGCGCCGAGCCTCTCCTGGGAAGGAGGTCTGTGCGGTGCGGACAGCGGGGAAGCCTCGGGGTGGCCGGGCCAGAGAGCTGGGGTCACGGCCCTCCACCGCCGGAGGGGCACCCAGTGTCTCTCTTGCCCGGTGTGGGGCGTCCGGGGGACTCCCGTCGCGGGGTCCTTGGTTGGGGCAGTGCCGGCGCCCCTGCCCACACGCTCAGGCCAGTGGAGTTCCCCGCAGGGGCGGTTGGTGGGGCTGGAGGAACAGCCCATGTGCCCTTGCTCCGTGCAGGGGCAACCAGATAAGGGCAGCTATTCATGGCTTGCAGGACCGCCCGGGCAGAATGTCACGATGGAGGAGGGGGGCACGCCCCTGCTCCCCGACTGCCTCATCTACCAGATATTCCTGAACTTGGGCCCCGCCGACGTGCTAGCTGCCGGGCTGGTGTGCCGCCAATGGCAGGCTGTGTCTAGGGATGAGTTCCTGTGGAGAGAGCAGTTCTACCGCTACTACCAGGTGGCCAGAGATGTGCCCCGACACCCAGGTCAGTGCCTGCATGGCCTCGAAGTCCACCGGGTCAGGTTGGGTGGGAGGTTGGGGTCGGCCCCACCTTTTGTTCTGCAGCCACAGTGCCAGGCCCGTGCCCAGCTGTGCACGGCCCTGAGCCTCCACCTGGCTGACCGAGGACTGTTGGACCCAGCACAGGTCACCTCTCAGAGCACAGGGTCTGGTGTGTGAAAGGCAATGGGTGGACCAGGTCACTTGGGGGTGGGGAGCACAGGGGTCTCTGAGAGCTACAAGGTGTGCTCCCTAGCTGAGGCCTAAGCTAGTGGACAGCCGCCAGTCTCCAGGCCACCACCGAGCTTGTCAGGTGTGCTGCAGCCACGCTCTGGGCACTTGGCCCTGACTGCAGGAAAGGAGGCTCAGGCCCAAGGGTGACACTGCCCCTCCTGCAGCGGCCACGTCCTGGTATGAGGAGTTCCGGCGGCTCTATGACATGGTGCCCTGTGTGGAGGTGCAGACGCTGAGGGAGCACTCCGACCAGGTCCTGCACCTCAGCTTCTCCCACTCGGGCTACCAGTTTGCTTCCTGCTCCAAGGACTGCACTGTGAAGGTGAGAATGCCCAGGTGCCTGGCACCCCCCACACCCCACCCCAGGGCTGAGGGTCTGGGGCCAGGCCTCTCAACCAGGTAGGGAAGGAGGGTCAGGCCAGAGGTGAGAGACGGGCCCATCTCCCTGCATCCAGTGGCGAGGACCGGGTCGGAAGAACGAGCTCAGCCAGGACCACGCGGGACTGGGAGCAGGAGAGGGCCACCCTAACTGCCAGCAGAGAGGAGAGGGCCCCCAGGAAGACTCCTGCGCCAAAGGCAGGCCCCCAGCTGTCTGTACCCATGTGCCTCGGGGTGGGTGACAGCTGGCTGGAAGGGGTCCCTGCCCCATGGCGCTTTCTGGGCTGAGCTGGCAGAGCCAGGGCCCGATGGCACTGTGGTAGCACCCCTCTCCCTGGGTCTGGCTGGGTGGTCACCCACTGCCACCCCTGCTGTGCAGATCTGGAACAACGACCTGAACATCTCGCTGCTGCACAGCGCGGACATGCGGCCCTACAACTGGAGCTACACCCAGTTCTCCCAGTTCAACCAGGATGACTCGCTGCTGCTGGCCTCTGGGGTGTTCCTGGGGCCGCACAACTCCTCATCCGGCGAGATTGCTGTCATCAGCCTAGGTGAGCACGGGCCCTGGGATGGGCCACCTCCTGCCCCCTTCCGGCAGCTTGCCCAGCCATGGCCTCCCCGCAGACTCCTTCGCGTTGCTGTCCCGGGTGCGCAACAAGCCCTACGACGTGTTTGGCTGCTGGCTCACGGAAACCAGCCTCATCTCCGGGAACCTGCACCGCATCGGGGACATCACCTCCTGCTCGGTGCTGTGGCTGAACCACGCCTTCCAGGTGTGGGCAGTGTGGGGCTGGGCGGGGCAGGGCTTGCGGCAGGCAGCGGGCTGCCCTCCCCCAGGCCCGGCGCCCACCTAGCTGTGCCCCGCCCTCAGGACGTGGAGTCGGAGAACGTCAACGTGGTGAAGCGGCTCTTCAAGATCCAGAACCTCAACGCCAGCACCATCCGCACAGTGATGGTGGCCGACTGCAGCAGGTTCGACAGCCCGGACCTCCTGCTGGACGCTGGGGACCCTGCTGCGCCCCCCTGCTGCCGCGTCTTTGACCTGGGCAGCGACAGTGAGGACGAGGTGGCTGGCCGGGCCCCTGCCCACACCAAGGAGGGCTTGCAGCGATTCCTGGACCGTATGTTGGACGGGCGCACGCAGCCGCAGCTATCGGAGCGCGTGCTGGAGACCAGAGTGGCTAAGCTGCTGGCCCAGGGCCACACCAAGCCGCCTGAGCGCGGCGCCGCCAGCACCAAGAACAAGTACCTCATCTTCACCACAGGCTGCCTCACCTACTCCCCACATCAGATCGGTAACGGGCAGGGCGGACCTGGCTGGCCTGGGGGGACCACTGCTGGGTGCTGCCCAGGCTCCTCCTCAGGCCCAAGAGCTTAGGGGAGGCTGGGCAGGGGTCCCAGGGGCCAGACAGCACGTGTGTCCACAGGCAGTTTGGATCATCCGTCTGCTGCTGGGGGTGCAGGCCCAGGCCTGGCCTTGGTCCTGTGGGGCCGAGTGGTGAATGGCAGGACAGAAGCAGGCCGGGCCCCAGCAAATGAGTGACCAGATGGGCCTCTATGGTTCAGATCTGGAGGCCCCCACACAGGCAGACCCTTGGACCTCTGGGGTGCTCAGGCGCTAAGGTGCCCTCAGGGTGGGGGCTGTCCTGGAGGTGATGTCCCCCAGGGCAGGGTGGAGCCCTCACCCTGGCCTTCTGTGTAGGCATCAAGCAGATCCTGCCGCACCAGATGACCACGGCCGGGCCTGTGCTGGGCGAGGGGCGGGGCTCTGACGCCTTCTTTGATGCACTGGACCACGTCATCGACGTGCACGGCCACATCATCGGCATGGGCCTGTCGCCCGACAACAGGTGGGCCTCCTGACGGCATCCTGGGTGGGGTGCCCGCAGGTGGCCTGTACCTAGCGGTGTGCCCCCTGCCCAGGTACCTGTACGTGAACAGCCGCGCCTGGCCCAGTGGTGCAGTGGTGGCCGACCCCATGCAGCCACCACCCATCGCGGAGGAGATCGACCTGCTGGTGTTTGACCTCAAGACCATGCGGGAGGTGAGGCGGGCCCTGCGAGCACACCGCGCCTACACGCCCAACGACGAGTGCTTCTTCATCTTCCTTGACGTCAGCAGGGACTTCGTGGCCAGGTGCAGGCTCGGGCGGGCTGGGGCTCAGGGCGGGTGTGGCACCACAGGTGGGCAGCGGGCTTACGTGGCGCTGTCCTGCAGCGGGGCTGAGGACCGGCATGGCTACATCTGGGACCGCCACTACAACATCTGCCTGGCCAAGCTGCGGCACGAGGACGTGGTCAACTCGGTGGCCTTCAGTCCCCAGGAGCAGGAGCTCCTGCTGACGGCCAGCGACGATGCCACCATCAAAGCCTGGCGCTCACCACGCACCGTGCGGATACTCCAGGCCCCGCGCCCACGCCCCCGCCCTTTCTTCTCCTGGTTTGCCAGCCAGAGGCGCTGAGGGGCACACAGGCCCACCGAGGACACCAGCAAGGCCTGTGGTTCCGTCCCGAGTGGGGGCAGAGAAGCTCAGCTCGTAGCTGTTAACGCCTTAGAAAGGGGACGGCCGGACCCCAACACGCTCTCGCAAGCGAACCCACCCACGTAGCCGTGACACTTAGCACTAGGGTGGCCGGTGTGGGCCATGCCAAAGACCTGGTATCGGCCCGCTGGCCTGCCCGGGCTGCACAGACACTGGAGGCCCCGCTCCTCACCCGCCCCTCCTCTGCGCGGGAGATTATTGGTTGCCACAGCGGTGCTGAGCTGGCCCTGCCCAGGGCATTTGGGACAGTCAGCCCGACACGACACGCACTCAGCCAGTCCTGCAGGGCCCCGGCCGGCAGGGGACTCCCGTCTCTGGCGCCTTGGTGTGTGCACCTGTGGTGCCCGGGTTGGCCTGCCGTGGGCCTGAGTGTGCTGCATGTCCACCTGCCACCTGTTTGGGGCCCTGAATAAACAGTTGGCCACAGCATACTGTCGTCTAGCCTCTGTCTGCAGGGAGGGGCCCAGAGCACAGATGGCTGATGGCCCCAGGGGTGTGGACCTTATGGCCACCACCTGACAGGTGCCAGGAGGTGAGAACAAGATGAAGGTGCTGGCACAAGTGTACACGTCCAGCTACTGTGTCACACTGCCCTGTCCGCCCTCCGGATCTTGAGGAGATGCCTGACATGTCTGCAGTGGGCAGCAGCGTCCAGGCCCTACCAGAACAAAGTCCAGGGGTGGGGCAACATCCAGTTCTTGGTGCCATCGGAGTCCGCAGGGGTTTCAGCAATTAGTCACATCCTCCAGGGGTTCCCTGGCTGCTGGGAGTAGGGCTGGGCAGCGCGCTGTGGGGTTCAGGCAGGTGAGGACAGGACCCGGCACCCAGAGCGGCAGCAGAGGGTGGCTCTGGCTGGCCCTCACAGGCTTTGCCCAGGCTGTGCTGGGAGCTCGCCTGGTACCTCGTTCAGCTCGGGTTCCTGGGGTGGTGGTGGTGATGAGCAAGATGGGGGGTTGGAGCTCTGGGGGTGGGGGTGTCAGCTGTCCAGTGGCAACACCCATGTGGGCAGCAGGCTTGTGTCAAACTGTCCTGGCTCCACCAATGGCAACAATCAACACAACTGAAAAAAAAGACAGGGGAGGCTTAAGTGCCTAACAAGGGAAATGTCCCTGCAGAGCCAGGCTGGCTAGGGGACGGGCAGAGGGCTAGGGCAGGGCCCCCAGCAGATGGGTCGGGGGAATTGTGCCCTACAGGGAACTGGGGGTGGGGGTAGCCCAGCATCCACCTGTGTGGGCTACGCTACCCAGAGGGACAGAAGCCCCTGTCCCTCTAACTCCTAGTTCTCAACTGGGAAGCCCCAGGGCCGCTGAGTTAATCAAAACCATCAGACACAGAGGAGAATGAGGAAAGGAAGAAAGGATGACAACACAGCAACAAGGAAATCCCAAAAACACGTCAGCAGATGAGCTGAAACTGAAAATCCAAAGTCCACAAGGATACCTCTTATCACAGAAAGTGGCCAACAAATTCAACAAATGCAGATACGCTTTTGAGACGTTGGGAAAAACCGAGCAATTTTCCTGAAAGGGATTTAAGATGTGTCTTATTAAAGTCCAGGAGACTAATGACAATGATAAAGCCAAACACAGAGCTGTAAAGCTGAAGCAGGGACACAAGTCAGGAACGTGAGGAAATTTAAAAGGCGACCGTAAACTGCAGCAGGTTCGACACGTGAAAAACGCTGGGCCAGACAGGCCCGGTGTGAAGAAGAGGCAGCGAAGACAGGGCGTCCACGAACAGTCCCACCGCAGGAGAGGCGGAGGCGGCGTGGACCCGTCCCCGTTATGGGGCTATGGTAGAAACTCTGTGTCTAAAGAGAAAACTTACGAAAAGACAGGAATGCACAGAAAAGACGCGCTGAGGTCTGAACAAGGAAAATACCCGCACAAGTCTCGAGGCAGCGCGCGCACCGGGGCGTCAAAGGGTGAGGAAACCGTAGGTGCGCGGGGAGAGGCTCGGTTCCAGGGAAGATGGAGCCCGGGCCTGCCCTGCAGCGTGGCTGTGAGACCCGAGTGCACAGCACACGGCGGTGACACCCAGAGGCAGACTGAACTCGACCCAGCGTGACACTGGAGGGGAGTGCGGGGCCCAGGCAGAGAGGCCCCAGGAGCCACCCTGCGGACTGGGACAGGGCCCCTGCTGCTCGCCTGAGCGTGGGGTGCCCTGGGTGCCGCCCCGCCTGTTCCTTTGTGCCCAGGCAGCCCCTGGTGTCAGTGGAAGCGGTGGCTCCAGGAACCTCGCGAGCCATGCCGGGGCTGCTGGTGGCTCCAGGAACCTCGAGAGCCATGCCGGGGCTGCTGGGCTTCCAGGAGGGTGGGGCCAGGGGCCCTGTTACTTTTCTTTTCTTTTCCCTTTTTTTTTTTTTTTTTTGAGACAGAGTCTCACTCTGTCGCCCGGGCCAGAGTGCCGTGACATCAGCCTAGCTCACAGCAACCTCCAACTCCTGGGCTAAAGCGATTCTCCTGCCTCAGCCTCCCGAGTAGCTGGGACTACAGGCATACGCCACCATGCCCGGCTAATTTTTTCTATATGTATTTTTAGTTGTCCAATTAATTTCTTTCTATTTTTAGTAGAGATGGGGTCTTGCTCTTGCTCTTGCTCAGGCTGGTCTCCGAACTCCTGACCTCGAGCAATCCTCCTGCCGCAGCCTCCCAGAGTGCTAGGATTACAGGCGTGAGCCAACACGCCTGTTACTTTTCTCTCTGCCCTCCTGCCACGTGGACCCTAACATGGCCCAGACAAGGAAGGGCATGTCACGGTGGGGTGACCAGAGTCCTACTTGTCTGGCTGAAGAACCAATGGGGGGAGGCGCCCAGCAACCAAAACTAGCAGGGGAGCTTGGGAAAACTGCCTTGTAAAGTGGTTTGTGAATGCAAAGCCCCTGACTCAAACAGCAGACACCTGGATCGGATTCAAGAGTTTGAGTACTTGTGTTCCAGCCCCCAACATCCTAGACTGAAGGACAAGCCTGAAGTGCAGTGGCCGTGGAGACCAGAGCCCACACAAGGCAGTGAGCGCATGGGTGTGGCCCCGACGAGACCAGGCGCCTACTAACGACATCATTTCCCACATGTTTAGACAAGACCCAGGTCTCAAAGTGATATTCAAAATGTTCAGAATATAATCCAAAATTACTTGACACATGAAGAACCGTGAAAACTACAACTTGCAGGAGAAAAGGCAGATCCCAAGGATGAGAACACACAGATACTGAAATTACCTGACCAAGACTTTAAAGAAGCTACTATAAAAATGCTTTAAAACAAGCAAACACAAACATTTTGCAATGGATGTAAAAATAGTCTCAGCAAAAAAACCAGCAGATATAAAAAGAACCAAATGGAAATATTAGAAGTGAAAAGGAAAATAACCAAAAAGTACGGAGTCCATTCAGACTCAGTAGCAGAAGCAAATGAGAGGAAAGATGCACTGAAATGATCCAAACTGAACAGAGAGGGAAAAATTGGGAGGAAAAAGAAAATCAAACCAGAGCCTCAAAGGACCTTTGGAACAGTAGCCAAAGGTCTAACATTTGTGTCATGGGAAGCTCAGAAAGAGAAGAGAGACAGTGATTTGCAAAAGTAGTGACTAGAAATTTCCCAAATATGATGAAAGTATAAATCTACAGATTCAAGAAGCCAAGCAAACTCAAAACAGGATAAACCCAAAGAAATAAATCTATACCAGCACATATAAAATTGCTAAAAGCTAAAGACAAAAAAGTTCTTGAAAGTAGTTAGGAAACTGACACACTACCTCTAGGGAAACTCTGATTTGAATGAATGTGTATTTCTCATCAGAATCCACAGAGGCCATAGGAAATGGCCCATTTTTAAAGTTGGGGGGCTTAGGGGCTGGGCTTGGTGGCTCACGCCTGTAATCCCAACACTTTGGATGGCTGAGGGGTGGAGGATCGCTTGAGCCCAGCCTGAGCAACTTTGTGAGACCCCATCTCTACTGAAAACAGAAAAATTAGCTGGGCCTGGTGGTGCCGCCTGTGGTCCCAGCAACTGGGAGGCTGAGGCAGGAGGATCGCTTGAGCCCAGGAGTTGGAGGCTGCAGTGAGCTATGATCGTACCACTGCACTCCAGACTGGGTGACACAGCGAGACTCTGTCTCAAATAACAATACTAATAATAAACTAAAACAGAATACTAAAAAGTGTTCAAATAACTGTATCTTTTTTTTTTTTTTTTTTTTTT